AGAGTCTATGTTGCCCTTGGTAGAGTGCCAAAGCGTCACAACTCACAGAAACCTCAAACTCTTGGGCCTAAGCAATTCTCTTGCATCAGCCTCCCAAGTAACTGGGACTACAGGTATCCGGTACAACACCCAGCTATTTTTTGTTGCAGTTGTCATTGTTGTTTTTAACTGGCTCGGGTTGGGTTCAAACCTGCCACCCTCAGTGTATGTGTCTGGTGCTGTAACCACTGTGTTCCAGATGCAGAACCTTCTTTTCTTTTCTTTTTTTCAAGACAGAGTCTCACTTGCCCTGGCTAGAGTGTCATGGCATCAGTCTGACTCACAGCAACCTCAGACTCCTGGGCTCAAGTGATCTCCTGCCTCAGCCTCCCAAGTAGCTGGGTCTACAGGTGCCCACCACCATGCCTGAGTAATTTTTCTATTTTTAGTAGAAATGGGGCTTCACTCTTGCTCAGGGTGGTCTCAAACTCTTGAACTCAAGCAATCCTCCCATCTTGGCCCCCAGCGTGCTAGGATTACAGGTGTGAGCCTCTGCCTGGTTATCTTTTGGGGATTTCAATGTAAACCCCAAGGCATTTACCAAGACCTTCTAATTTTGAGGGTCACAAACTCTAAACTTGGTCTTCCTAATACTCTGACAGTTGCCAAAATCCCTGTTTAGATGTTAGACTTTTCTACCAATCTCCTAGAAATCTCACCCTGCACATGTGCCATTTAGAAGCCAGCTAAGCACTAGAGGGGAATTTGTATGCAGATTTTGAATCTCCCTTTTCATAGCTTACTCATTTTCCCAAATTTATTCCTCAATTTCCAGCTTTTCTAGCATTCCTATACTCCAAACTCAGGTCCTCAGCCAGTAAGATTGCTATTTTCTGACAGCTCTATTTCCCTGTGAACTGTGGAATATCTTTAGGGGAAACACCTGTAAAATGTAGAACTTACCTGATGGGCTTCCCTTTTTTCAAGGATTATAAACCCTCTGGATTTCTTACTCTCATTTAATAACCATGCTTTCATAGAGTTTTTATGTTTTGTCTAGGGTATATATCCAGACAGTCTGACACAAGCACTTTTATCATGCCAGAAACTGGAGGTTGATCTGGTTATCATCAATTGTGTGCTGCACTTATTATTATTATTTATTGAGATAGAGTCTCACTATGTCACCCTCAGTGGAGTGCCATGGTGTCACAGCTCACGGCAACCTTGGGCTTAAGCAATTCTCTTGCCTCAGCCTCCCAAGTAGCTGGTACTATAGGCGCCTGTCACAACGCCCAGCTATTTTTGTTGTTGTTGCAGTTGTCATTTTGTTTAGCAGGCCTGGACAAAGGGGCCTGCTAAACCCTTTCAGCCTTGGTGTATATGGCCAGCGCCCTACCCACTAAACTACAGGCGCTGAGCCTGCATATATTATTTTTAAATGATTTACAGAAGTAAGTTGAAGCCCAGGAGCAAATGAGTGTGA